AAGGGGGTTATAAAGGGGGGATTAATTAAGGGGGATGCTAGGAGTTAAGACTATAGCTCAATGATTTGATTGGGTTGAACATCTGAGTTATGGTCCAAACTCCTTAAAAAGGGTTATATGGGGGACTATATAGGGGAGTATTATAGGGCTTATACTAGGAGTTTAGACAATGGCTCATCTGGCGTCTGGCAGGGTCGGGGTCCAATGTGGGGAGCTCTCCTGGGATCCTATGATAAAACAGGAGCTGCATTCATGAAACATGTGCAGCTTCTACCCCTCAACCCTACACTCTCGGAAACTAACGTGGAATCCCAAAACGGGCCCTATGAAGAACTAAAGTCCCTCTAAAAGGAGACTATATGGGTTTCCATGTTAGCTTGGGGGAGTGTAAATCTGCAAGTGCTTGTGAGTCAGCTAGCCGCTGGCTGATATGTGAGTTCTTGCTGAGGTCCTTACTATCTAGCATGAACATTTTTCTCCATATTGGGTAACAGGCTTTACGCTTCTTTGCAGCACCTACACCCTAAACCTTGCCAGATTCGAACCTTGCTATGCCTTCAGTGCCACACCATTTGCAACAAATCTAAGGGAGATCAAGGCTTATGAAACCCTAAACCCCAAATCCTAAACCCTAGGAGTTGATTCGCCATTATTGAAGTTATAACCTTACATATGTAGTAGTTGGAACTTAATTTTCCATTTGATGCTCCATTCTGCAGTTATAACCCTATAATTAGATATATACACACATAGCAGTTTCAATTTAATGTTCATTTGATTCCCCAGAATTGGGTTTAGCCACATGCATGAGTTTTCCGTTTCATCTGCCATGTTGTTTTCCGTGTGATTCGTCATTATTGGGGATATAGCCCTCTCTATGACTATGCATGCGTATGCATATACAGAAGTGTACATTTCATTCTTAATTTCCTTTTCCATTGAATTCTCCATGATTGGGGCTTGTATCCCTAGCCATCCAGAAGCATGTATAAACAGCCAGAATCCCAAGATGATATAGAAGTTTTTCATTTTCTTTTTCACAAAATCCCTACGTATGTATCCCTCCATAATAACCCCTAAACCGTAAACTAAACCTTAAATCCTGAACCTTAAACCCTAAACCCTAAACCACAGGCCTGGTGGCCCAGTTCGCCCATGCAGTAATGCAGACTTAAAAGGTCCGCGGGGCTTTGACAAATTCACAGGCCCTAAACGCTAGACCCCTAAACCCCTATAGTCCCCCTTAAGTAGATAGAATATGGGATATATGGGGATCTCGTTTTCATGTACCCAAACCCATATTCTATCTACATAAGAAGGACTGTAAACCCCTACCCGAAACCCGGAACCCTGAATCACAGGCCTGTGGCAAGGCAGGCCGGTGGCCCGAGGCTCGCCAGTTCTTGGCGAAGCTCATCAGGACGTCGGAGGGTCTTGCTTCACATTGAGGTATAGTCTAAACGCCTTCAACGGGGGTATATAGGGCATTATGAAGGGGAGGATTGTAGAGGTTATTAAGGAAGATGCGAGGAGCTTAGACTATAGCTCACATTGAGCTACAGACTAGAGTCAGGATTGGGGAAGATTTCCAAGGCATCCTTGCCCTAAACCCTAAACCTATCAGGATTCTAGGGTGACAGGTATATAACGGGATGTGCTACAACTTCAGTGCAGGGCCCACATGCCTTCTGCTAATCCGTGCTTTTGCGTGTGAACCCTGGTCATCCACTTGACCCACGTGAACCGTTTCCCGTCTGCTAGGACCAGGCAGCCATCCAGACAGGCATCTCATCAAGAGGAGGTGCTCTTTGCAAAGCAAATCGCGTTCGATTGAGTGAATGACGGCTCACAAGGTATCCTGAGTCTATGTGGTAGTTTCCCTGAATACGGGGACCCTAATGTACACACCAATACATGAAAATCCTTATTATGGGGACCCTCGAAAAGGTACCCCCTAGCAAAGATCACCACGTAGCTTTAGCCAGAAACCTTGAGGTGAAACTCGGGCAACCAACAGGTATCTATTAGTATAATAGTAGCAGTAATCGGGTAATCACAATATAGTAAAAATATAGCAACTACAATAGTAATTGCTGCTATTGTTTTATTGCTATATTTTTGCTATATTGTGATTACCCTGTTAGTACTACTATTATTATCGGAAAAGTATTACTATATTGTTATTTCTATATTGTGATTACTCTATAACTACTACTACTACTACTACTACTACTACTATTATTGGAAAAGATGACGTCATGTTCACCCGAGCTTTAGGAACTCTTCTATGGATCGCTGCCGAATCTGTGCACAAAAAATGATACTACCCCTGAGCACCAATACAAACCCAGTTTACTTGTGATTTTCCATTTCCTGTGCCATTCGATTCTCCATGATCCCTACATGATCCCATAAACCCAAATTCTGTACTGTATGATGCACACTGTTTGCGGGGTCAAGTCTCACAATGCCTCAAGTACCAAGCGCGAGGTCCAGAAACTGCTAAAGAGAAACTTTGAAACGACTTTCTCGGGTTGAGGGATGTGGTTTAGGGTTTAGGGCTTGGGGTTTAGGCCGTGGCCTTAGGGCTTAGGGTTTAGGGTTTAGGGAATCAAATGGAAAATAGCATGGAAAATAGAATGGACAGTTGGCTTTCCAGGGGGTGATAGTGTTACCGTTTTGCATTTTTCTGTCAAAGCTAACGTGAGGTTTCGGAGAGGTGCCCAAAGCATGAGGCTTCCAAGTAGCAGCTTGAAGAGTCCCGTGCAATCAAGATAAACGCATAAATGAAACGGAGGATATCTTGCCACGCCTGTGGTCCAGCTATTCTGATCCAAATCGTCGTTCCTATCCAGAGCAGCTGAGCACACAGATGGTAGAGTAGCTGATGACTTGACAGCAGCCGTGTTTGATAAGACGTCAGCTTTTCGCACGGCCGTGTGTGAGTGGTGTTTGTTTGTATGTGTTTGTGTGCCAGGTGTCCCCAGCGACCGAATGGTCACGAGTTGGAACAGCTGCGGTCACGGCATATGGTCAGACGCTTGAAGCTGTCCGAATAACCAGCGATGCGCCCCATATTACAAATTGAGTGGTACCTTTCTGGGGGTCCCCATAATAAGGACTATAGTGTTTGGGGTCAATATTGGGGTTCCCCTAGTTTCCCCCTATTGGGAAAACTACCATCTTGCACAGATATCTTGAGATGAGGTTGTAATCATCAGTGGCGAAGAGCGATTCAAGTCCTGGAGGCTGAGGGACATGGCGACATGCTGCCTGCAATCACATGGGGGATTGTCAAAATTATGGTCCCTTTTTTGGGTCCCTGTTATAATACGGGGCCTAATACGGGCCTCATTTAAGGGACCCCAAAAAGGGATCATTTTGACCATTTGAGCGCAATCATTCGTACCTAAAAAGGGACCAATATTTTGACAATCCCCCACATGGGGCAAAACTGTGGCACGCACCGCGGTTGCAGGACTTTCGCGCCAGCGCTTTGCAGGTGAACGCTGCTCCTTTTAATGCAGCGATGCGCCTGTCCTACGTTGAGCAGGGTGCGAGGCACGGTGATTGCCTTGTCGAACGGTTATAAATAGATGCCAGTGGTGCAGGAAAAAAGCCAGGAATCGCTGGCAGATGGCCCTGACCACAGCAGAGGATGTGAAGTTTGAGGATGCTGCACGGCGAGCACCGTGGAAACTCGTGTGTTCCAGGACCTGATGCGCATGGGTCCGGAGCCAGATTCGATCACGCTGAACACAGCGGCCTGTTCCTTTGTTCGCTCGTTCTTTTCACGCATCGGCAATTTGCAGATACGAATTGAGCTTAAACTTTGCCAGGAGTAACGGACAGACAGCAAAAGGCTTCAGCAGAGTATCTAGAATCTCGAAGATAAGTTATGATTTCACGCCTATCTCAACACACGAGACACATTGGTATTCTTCATGCGTTTGGGGCAATGGAAAATAATTTGGAAACTACTATATCATAATAGGGTATATATTGGAGTTATATAGGGATAATGGAAAATAAAACGGAAGCTACTATATTATAAAAGGGTATATTTTGGGGTTATATAGGGATAACGTTCTGAGGTCAATGCTTGTGCCTCTGCTCGCGCTTGGCAAGCTGCCGTTTCAACAATGCAAGTCAGGGCCGAAGCAACTTTGCTAATGCATGAAAGTTATGTCGTGGCTTGGGTGTGGTGTGCTCAGGCCGGACAGCGCTGGCTAGATGTGATGCCAGACTCCATAAGTTGGAGCCTCGTGATGGTTGTGGCAAATGCGACAGAAGCTGCGATGTCTGCAACCGCACAACTCAGGTTTAAATACTGCAATTTCTGCTTGCCATGCGCCCGGGTTAAGCCACAACCTGTGAGTTGGCTTCCAAGCCTCCATCGGAGGCGAGCGTGCGCAGCAGTGGGAGCACAGTCTAGCCGGGAGACCTAGATTTCGGTCAACACAGGTTAGCGTTCACTATGGGGGTTCCCACATTAGGGGTTCCTTTGTCGGGGTCCCCATAAAGAGGATTGTAGTATTTGGGGTCTATGTTGGGGCCCCCCTCTTCTATGGAAACTACCATATTGCTCGCTCAGGCCCTGTTCTATTGCGAGATGCCGCGACTGCGAATCGAGCCAACCTTGGTGTCTTTCAACAGCGCCATCAACACTTGCGCCACAGCCGGGCTATGGCAGGCAGCCAGCGTTTGCAGCACAATATCAAGTGGCGATTTTGTTGATTTCCAGCGTGACATGAGGCTTAAGGGGCTTCTGAGAAAACGTCTTGTTAGTGGTAAGACACAACATCTGCAGCAATACCGACTTTTACAAGAAAGTGCGGCGTTCAAATGAGCTCCTCGGCCGTGAAAATCCAATACACACAACATCTTAGAGGACCCTATAATCCCCATAACACCCCTATATAATCCCTACAGTTTCCATTTTATTTTCCATTATCCCTATATATACTTTTTAGGCTCGGGTTGACACACTTCAATCTGGCATGTCGTGCAATTTCGACACTGACTGCCCGGATGGAAAGATCGCCTGTATTCTGACGTACAATGGTTGCACCTTGGCAGCACAACGAGGCCGGCCAATGACTCTCACGAAGTGTGGGGTGCCGAGGTGGGCAAGATATTGCCATTAATTATGCGTTGTTGGCGACGCAGGCGTGCTGCTGAACCAAGCTTTCATGCTCAGCCACGCTATTCTTGCTGAGCTTTGCATGGTGAGGCTCCGGCCTTTTACATGTGTGCTGGCAGCTACACCGTGCCGGTGTTTGCATTCTTCGCGATATTTCAGGCAGCATCGTGTTTTCGTTGCTTGTTCTTCCCTGCCAGCAGCCGAATGATTAACAACAAGTCTTATGCCAACAGCAGGTGGTGTTGTGCATGTTGGCCCACTGTTCAGGGGCTCCTTGGAGGCATTCATGGCTATTGTCAGGGTAAGAGCGGAACGCACTCAGGTTTCTGTCGTGTGGTGTGCCATACTGGGCTATTGCGGTGCAGTTGCATACAAGGCCAGGTACTGGACCACCAGGAAGAGAACACATAGCTAGATCTTACATGGAGGTTTCCCAAATTTAGGGGTATCTCCTTGGGAGTCCCTGTAATGAGGGCTATAGTATTTGGGGGTCTATATTGGGGTACGCCTAGTTTGGGAAACTACCAAATGCTGCATGCAGATTTATCGACAAGAAAGGTTGCTGTTTCGGTGCTCCATCATTTTGGTCCAGCAGCGGGTCGAAAACATGCGGAATGCATGGCATGTTCCGTACGCACCTAGTAATAAACAGTCTCTCTTACATAATGCCATTGCATACTGGGGCTGTGGATTGCGTTTAGTCCTCCTCAACCCTGAACAACCCCCCCTCTCCCCTAATAATCAATATTCCCCCTTCATGTGTTTGTTGTTCGGGGGGTTCTTGCTAGGGAGCCCTACAATCCCTACATCTGTCCTCTTGTATCCGTGTTATATACCCTAAACCCTAAACCCCAAGCCCTAGGGAAAAAACCTATATCCCATATTCTATTTACTTATTAAGGGGGACTCTATACATAGCCCCATTATAGCCCTACATCTGGATCGGAGACCCTAAACCCTAAATCCTAAACCCTAGGGTTGCGAGAAGGGGGTTCAAACTTGCCATGGCGACGCTGATGGCCAGTAGCTCGGGGCCTCGCCCAAAGCGCCCTAAAGCTGGAGCAGATGCAAAAAAAGGCTGGCTTGTTGTTGAGGAACGTAGATTATACGTTACCATAATATGGCTATATAGGGTTTAGGGCAGCCACTCAAGTCCGGGTTGAAAAAATGGGGCATAAGTTACCAGATTATGGGGTATTATGGGTATATAGCAAAGAATGCGGTTTCTTTCCTTACAAGCTAATAACTTGAAGTAAATTCCCTGAAAGTAACCCAGAAAGGTCCACCGCGAAAGCGACCGGCGCAGCGTGCGCCTGCCAAGTCCAAGAAGGCCAAAAGCCCCAAGGCTCAGAAGCGCATGAAGCGACCTGCGGGCACTGCGGGTGCTCCCAAGAAACGGCCAGCAAAGGCAAGACAGACCCCGAAACGTGGCAAGCCAGCAAAGCAGGGGAAGGCCAAGATCCTCCCGCGCACCATGGCAGGTGTTTTCGCTGCAGTGCTACGAAGCATCGATTTGTCTGCACCTTACCGGAAAATCCTCTACGTTATGCGGGGACCGCCCGGATGTGGGAAAAGCACAGTTGCACGGAAGCTGCTTGCGAGACATCTGAAAGAGCAGGGGGTTCGGTGGAACCCATCTGGAGCATCGTCGGCTGTCTCGCCCGTGAGTCGAGCATTCGTTTGCTCCACTGACGATTTCTTCACGCAAGTAGATGACCTTGGAACAACCAAGTACACGTTTGACCCTCGGCGGCTTGGAGAGCTGCATCAGAAAAACCAAGCGCGATGCGAAGAAGCTATGTTGCTCAGCCGAACTCCGTTGTTTGTGGACAACACAAACATTGCTTTATGGGAAATGGCCTCTTATGTTGAGTTGGCGGCACGGCATGGGTACTCTGTTATGATTATTGGACCTGAAGAGCTTGGCGAGGGTGCTCTTGATCTTGCCACTCTCGTACGGCGCTGCCAGAAGCGAGCTGCCGGAGAAGAAGAGAAGGAGATCCCGCAGTCCGTGTTGGAACGTATGCTGAACAGGTATGAGGAGCTTCCAGAGGACTTGCGAGGGCAGTATTGGCCAGCCGATGCGGAGCAGCTGGAGCCTGTGCGAACTGCAAAGCGGCCGGAGCCACCACCCAGATTCCGATATGCGGGTTTGGATGTGGAGGAACAGATCTTAGATGCCATGGCCTCTGTGGAGCTTGCAGCAGAATTCTGGGAGGCGTCTGGTGCAGACATGCCACCCCAGGGCGAGCGACACCTCCTTGCTGCCCGCGGGATGAGTGTCTGGCAGGTTCCACAGCGATTGCATGTCACTGTCAACTACTTTGGCAAAGATACAGCTGGTAAAGAAGCGGCATCCAAACTTCTAGGAAGAAGCTTTGGCGTCAAAGTCACGGGCCTTGTTTTCATTTGCGGCGGCGGTCTGCTTTGTGCCACCTGCGAGTTTGATGAGCAAGATCTTGCCACACTATCTGAACTGGCAGGTGATGGCTGGCGACCGCACATCACCTTGCTCCACAGTGGAAGCTGGCGTGCCAAAAACTCAAATGATGTCTTGGAAGGGATGGAAAAGGCTATCAGGAGTTCGACTGCGGCAGCGGCAATGAAGGTAGATTCTGGTGCAGTTGAAGTGGATGAGACACAATTAGATGATGCTACTCAGACGGACACAGATGCTCAGCCACAACTAGCAGCTCCAAGCGAACCAGAAGCTCTCGAAGGCACCGTACCTGCAGAGACAGCAGGAGCAGCACCAGCAACTTCTTGCAGCTTGCTACCACAAGATTCGTCCAGAACTTCAGAAGCTGTCTTGACCACTCCCACTCCTGGCTTGCAAGTGCTACGCGGCCTTGAAGTCTGCGAGAAGACGGTGGATGTTGGCATCATGCAGTTTCCAGCTGTCGACCTTGGCCCTTGCGAGTTTCGCTTGTTCCAGTACTAGTATGTATAAGAGAGAGAAAAGGATTGCACCGACACGCGTAATCGAAATGTCTGCAGCTCATGCATTACGCTTCTGCCAGCCAGGCAAAGTGGAATAAGGATGCTCTGATGCTTCGGGCCCTGGCACTTTCCGCAGTGCTTGATGCGATAGCACTGGTCTACTATGCGCTCGGCTCGGTGGGCTTCAACATGTTAGGCCGCGCGTGCAAGTTTTGGTTTTCGATGCTGAGGCTGTGACTTCTCCATGGTTGACCACCCTGGCCCATGCTTGCGCCATTTGCATGGGTGCTGAGCCCAGACTCAGACAAGTTCCAGCGGCGCTGTCCCGCACCGCAAAGTATAAGTTGGCTTAGGACAAGTGGTTGTAGAAGTCCTCCAGCTACAGCAGTTTTTTTTTTTATCAGCTGAGCCAGAATTACCGTTCTTTGGAAGGCTGCCCACAAGCCTGATGAGATTGGAAAGAGGGAAAGGGCTTGAAGCGAGGAATCCTAAAAGCTAGAGTGCAAAAGCTTGGGTGGGAAACCGGCGCGAGGGCCACCATGGGCGCGGAGGGAGGAGCGAGGCTATGATTGGCCACTTGCGCGGCGGCTCTTAAGCTGTAATTACGGATTGCAGTAATAGTAACTACTGAGAAGAACAACCCTTCAAGCAGGTTGGTGCAAGTTCCGCTTACTTATCTTGCAACACTCAACACGCTCTGGAGAGATTGCTCGCTTGAATGCTATCTTTCTTTGCTCTGCGTGCCATAGCTTAATGCTGTGAGCCTAGCGACTTGGACTGAGGTGCACGCACGTCATACTTCCGGCCCCAGGTGGCGTCTGAAGCGCTGGTGGATGCTGCAGCTCAAGGCCACATCCATTCCTGCTGTGGGAAATCATGGCTGTGGCTGCGTTGGCAGTTAATATGAATATATTCTAATATTAATACAAATATGTATATTAATATTAATATGCATAATAATATTATTATTTTACTATTAATATTAATATTAATAGTATTAATATTAATATTCATAATATATTAATTGAATATTGATTTTAATATAGTATCACCTTAGCAGGCTGACGCCAAAGTGGGCTCCGCACGTGGGGGGATCAGCCTCGCGGATGCTGCTAAAGTCGACCCTGCCTAATCAGTGGGCAGTGCCAAGGACCACTGGGTTGCTGTTAAGGAACTTAAATTAAGTTACTGTATGGGGGAAACCCTATTATTTACTATAAAAACCCATTATGGTAACTTAATTTAAGTTCCTTAACAGCAACCCAGCAGTGCCAAGGACCAAGCAGGAGCAGGGTGAAGACGGCCGGAGAGAGCACAAACCGCCCCTGGCAGCCGCTTCCTGGATTGGTTGGCAGCAACCACCGCCATCGTCCGACCTGCTGCCGATGCCTTCTGGGCCTTCGCGGAAAGTTTGGGGAAAAACATGGACTTCAAATAACTGGAAGTTACTGCTTGCCTCAAGCCAGGCTGCCTCGGCCTGGGGGAGAACCAAAAATCCATACCTCTGTTGGCTCCACGTGGCTCCACAGACTAGAGTGTAAAGCCGCTCACGAGATCTCATGTTGTTTGATGCCCAAGAACGGAATCCTCTCGGAAATCCATAGTTGACTGGGGGTGACATGCTGCAAGACAGAACAGCGCATTGTCTTGAGTGCCTTCACTTATTGCTGCTTAATGGGGAAAGCACATGGACAAATGAAGCGGAATCTATGGTTTAGGGGAAAAAGGACTTGCCGGAGCTTAGTAGGGATTGAGGGAATACTTTATATGGGGATTGAATTTGTGAATATTATATATAGGATAACATCTACTTGTTCCCTACCAACCACCAATAAGTTCAAGACGGGAAATCTCAGAGTGCAACATTGCCGGCATGCTGTTTGCATTTTTTTGCATTTTTTGGGAAGCCATGGGGTGGCACTCGAAATTGTGGTTTAAGGGTTTAGGTTTAGCAAAATTGGCTTTTTTCTTCTGCAGCACTTCTTCAACCAACGGCCAGATGATACACACGTAGGCAGTAGGGCTTCGCCCATGCTAGATGATGGCAGATGGCAGCGTGCACCGCGGCGTGCTGCGGAGCTTCTCAGTGAAAGTTGCTGGGTTGCTGTCAAGAAACGTAAGCTAAGTCACAATAATGGGTATATATGGCCCTTATGCTTCCCCCAGTAAAGAATGTGCTATAGCCGTGTCCATTTTCCTGCACATAACCCCATTATGTACCTTATTAACCCTATTATACTATGGTAGTTTTCATATTCTTTTCCATTATTCCTTACATAATCCTGAACCCTAAGCCCTAAGCCCCAAACCCAAAACCCTCAACTCCAAACCCTATATAACCCATTATAGTAGTTTCCATTTTCTTTTCCATATTCCCCAATAGAACCCCAATATATACCTTAAGCCCTATATATCCCCATTAGAGTAGTTTCCTTTTTCTTTTCCATAATCCCCAATATAACCCCAATATTAGTGTAGCCCTAAACCCTAAACCCCTTAAACCCTAAACCCTGAACCCTTAAACCAAGGGGGACTACAGCTAACCATAAATCCCCCAACAAATAGCAACCCAGGATGGTTATGGCTTCGTCCACTGCAAGGATCTCTTTGCGCAGTTCCGCCGTACCTCGATCCCACAAGTGAGTGGGGGTTTCCCCAAACTAGGGGTACCTGGGTACCTTTAAAGGGAATTTAGGGGTATATAGGGGTTATATAGGGTTTAAGGTTTAGGATTTGGGCATTTCCCAATCTTCGAGGGACCAAACTTTTGGGGGTCCATACAGCAAGGATTAATTACAGTATTCGGGAGTCTATATTTGGGTCCCCTTATTTAGGGGACTTTCCAGCATGTTTGGGTGAAATTTAAGAGGACTACAATGCCGATGCCAAGAGCCTTGTGCATACATGACTGTTTGCAGCGTTGATGGTAAAAGCTTTTATGAAGAGTCAGTCATTCCAGCCAGCCATTGGCAAGGTGATGTCTATGTCCCGGTCTCGTTGCTTCCCGATGGTATCTCCTGTGGCGCGCGAGTCGTTTTCATGCTGGTCTAGCCCTCGGCGTTTGATGTCTCTGATTTGGCATTGATTCAGACCTGTCATGAATAGTCTTCCTATCGTATTCTCAGTACTGTTATTAGTATCACCAATACGTTCTAACTGCACTGTCATTATTGCGTTAGCATTTTTGTCCTCACGGTGTGATGATGACCCTAAAACCTGGACCCAAAATCCTGAACGCGAAGCCCTAAACCTGGAACCTGAAACCCTGGACCGCGTTTGCTGCGAGGGCTTCAGCGAGAGGGGGCAGCCGCGATGTGAGCAGCTGTGGGAGGAGGCCAGGCCAAGCCTGTTACCCAGTAAAGGAGAACCAAATTACAGGGATTATAGGGGTTATATAGGACTTATAGGGTATAGATTGGGGATATGTGGAAATGATGGAAAGGAAAATGGAAACTACTGTAATGGGTTATATAAGGTCTAGGGTTTAGGGTATGTCAACTGCTATATTGAAGCTTTTCATAGCCTGCCGGGATCCCTCCTTGGGTTTTACTGAGGGAGCCGCGCGCTTTTTTGGACGCTGTTGTGCCCCCAGGATTTGTTTAGGGAATTGTAGAGTGAGTATGGAGAACCAAATGGAAAATCGCAAGGAGCACGAAGTGGAAACTACTGACTACTACATGTTGGGATTTTAATTTGGAAAATGAAAGGGATCATGTAGGTCTTTCATATAATGCAAAAGAACATGGAAACTCCCAAGATTTTCATTTGGCCGCTTGCGGAAGATACCAATAAATATAGTAGGAACAGTATTGACCAACAAGGGACAGACTAGAAATGATGCAGCAATGGTTTATATAGTATTAAGCGCTGCAACATCTGACCAGGACACTTCTAGCATCGATGCCTTGTCCGCGCTCGACTTGCTACCTCTCGATCTGAATTTAGAGCAATGCTGCGAGGCAGAAGCCTGGAGATTCAGACCTATCACTGGTTTTCTTATTTTGTGAGTACTACATCAGAAGTGCAACGAATCTAACAGCTATGATGTTGAAAAGCTGTGGATAAGCATGATGTTGATAAGCGTCACGGGCAACATCTGTTCGGAAAGAAGGTGAAGCCGAGAGCCTGTTGCGACATGTGTCCGAAATTCTGGCAGGCACAGCGTTTCGGGGGTTACTGTCAAGAAGCTGCGGACAGAAGGGCCACAGAATCCGTCAAAAAAGCCCGCTCTGGCGGCAAAGGGTTTTCGCGCGCGCTCCCGAGGCGAATCGTTTTCATAAGTGCCACTGGCGGCATTGGTGTCAGGAAGCAGACACGTGGTCAGCAGCAACAACAGTCCTGAGCTGGCATTTGTCCTGATACGCTGGGGGGGTGGGGGGTGAGCCGCAAAACCCCTTGCCGCGACACAGGTTTTTTGCTAACGCTTGATCCCTTCCTGCGAGCATCCCCTCAATAGCAGAGCTCCAAAATACTGCGCCTGCTAGCATTTTCAGACACATGTCCCTAGAGGCTCTGCCTTTTACATTCTTTTCGAATAGATGTTAGGTAATTTTTTCTGGGTGCGCATGCGTCCTACTTTTACTGCTACTTCTACTAGTACTAGTAGTAGTAGGTCCCCGGCGGGGAAAAAACCCCCCAAGAAACAGAGACACAATGATATCATACAATGGTATCATACGTTTTCCCCACTGGGCACCAATAATATCATGATGATAATGACAGCGTGCCCCAAGTAGAAACAATAGTATCATGATGATAATGACATTGTGACTCAAATTGACACAATAATACCATGATAATTAATGACAATATAACCCAAATA